AGTAAGTACTACATAGTACTTGTGGGGGTAGTTTCACTAGTACTGAGTCCAACAGGATCAATCCCACGAAGAACTAATGGCAACAAAAAAGAATTCCCTCATCAAACTTGAAGTGGCTTGATTTTGTTCTCAGCAGGGGACTTTGACTGTGTATTTTTTGAGAAATCCTCTGTCAAAGTACTTCAATGTATTGTTAGTAGTAGGGTAACTAATACAAAGTCAAACAGTATCAATTTCATTAAGAACTAATGGTAACATTGTATTGTTATCACTCATCAAAGATAGCAGAAAAACATGCATTATGTAAGTGGAGGGGACTTTGACAGAGGGTTACTCACAAAGTACACAGTAAAAGTACTTCATTTTATTTCTGGTAGAAATCAAACTAGACGTGAGTCCAACAGTGTCAGTTTTCTTAAGAACTTGTGGTAAAAAATATTTGTATCACTCATCAAATATAGCAGGAATAACGAAGAGCAGCTGATTTGAAAAAGCAAACTCGAGAGACGGCTGAGTGACCGCAGTGCAGAACCGCTGTATAGTTTAAATCTCCTCACAATGTTGTCCATTTTAGACAGAGGCCTATTATATTTACATCCCTTAATAACATTCATTTTCTGGGCTCACTATGTGCCTTGGCCTTTTTCGTTGTGATCGCTAAATTCACCTTGCTTATAATAATCACCGGTCCTTCAGAAGGATACTGTAGTGATTCAAAGTGTGATTTTAGCATAGAGTGCTTTTGTTTTGAAATCACTTCCGTGAGTTTCGCCCCGCCCCTCGATCCAATGACCATTAGACCATTTAGTAAGGTAAAAAGCAAAAACGCCTCGCAGACGCTCTTCCGTTTACTTGTTTAATAAAGAAAAAGAAATGGACCGTAGATACACGGATTTTGGACAATTCCCTAATGTGGTTAGTCTAAATAACCCCTAAACTCAAAAATGTAAATGTGAAAATATCCCACCGCTACATTTAGTTTTTCCCAAGTAGTTCTTCTAAGACATGCCATTAAATTACCCAATTAAAATGACCAAAATGCACAGTTAGCCGTGTGTGTGTGTGTGTGTGTGTGTGTGTGTGTGTGTGTGTGTGTGTGTGTGTGTGTGTGTGTGTGTGTGTGTGTGTGTGTGTGTGTGTGTGTGTGTGTGTGTGTGTGTGTGTGTGTGTGTGTGTGTGTGTGTGTGTGTGTGTGTGTGTGCGTGCGTGCAGAGTGCTGCTGTGGGCAGCGTGCTCTCTGCTCTCAGGTCTATATGTGGAGAGGGTGGCGTCTCATTTGGTGCGGCTGTGAGAGAACAACACGGCAGGGACGAGTCGATACACAGGTCAGTCCCTCTCACACTTACATAATATCAAAAGGCAGTCATGTTTCAATACAACAAAATGTATAGCAAAAAGATAGTTGTGTTAGAATAAAAAAAGGTAAGAATACCAGTGGTTGATGGACAGATACTGTATATACTCCATTATTTCAGAGAAACTGTGTACGATTAACTCAATTTATCTGACTGCTGCAGATTGTACCTACATTTCAGAGTAAGCTAATGTTATATAAAATACAACAAATCGTTGAATATTCAACCAGTGGTTTCCTCTTCTTGGCTTGTGACCCCTTATAAAATAGTTAAGTGGGGAGATATGGAGAATGTGTTTGTGTGCTGCGGTGCAGATGCTGTCCTCCAGATGTGGTGGTGTTTCCTCGTTGTGTGGAGGAGGTCAGCGCCCTGGCCAAGGTCTGCCACCAGCACAACCTTCCCATCATCCCCTTTGGCACTGGAACTGGTCTGGAAGGAGGGGTTAGCGCAGTCAAGGTGAGAGAGAGAGGAAGTGTGTGTGTGTGTGTGTCTCTCTGTCTGTGTCTCTGTCTCTGACTGGTTACATGTGCATTCATTATTTGTAAATGGGAGTGGTAATAAAAGTAAAATAGAGTGGTGCAGGAATGAGTCCTAAAACCTGGAAATTAGTTGGCATTTTACAACTTCCGGTTCCCTCGTCTGGAAAATAGGTCAGTAAATGCTGCACTGGTGAATGTACGAAACTTCTAAGTGTCATAAAAACAACAGTTACTAAACAAATGGCTAAATGAGACCACTAAACCTCATCACACCGAACATTAGCCTTTATCTTAGCGGTGTTTACGTGAACCCATGTGACCGTCTTGTAGTTTGTTTATAGCCTAATGTTAGCTTTTTACTTCTATCGATTGCATTTACACATCAAAAATCATAAAGTAGTGTTAATAAGTGTATATAATCCTGCTGAACAAAACGTGTAAGTATTATAAATGTTTGTTTGCCAAAGATCTTATTTTCTAACTGCAGTTACATTGGGTCTTCTTCCTGCCCTCAGGGTGGCGTGTGTTTCAGTCTGAGGAACATGGACCAGGTTCTGGACCTCCACCCGGAGGACTTTGATGTGACGGTGGAGCCCGGTGTGACCCGGAAGGCCCTCAACTCGTACCTGAGAGGCACCGGCCTGTGGTTTCCTGTTGGTCAGTCACACTCAGATCTTTTGGTTCAGTGAGTGGAACACAGGCCTGGTCACACCAGCATTTAAAATGTCATGGCTAGTTATATACAATCAAATGGTATAGTAGCATGGAGAGCTAAATCTGCACTGATGTTCTGTAAAGCACCAAAACTCAAATCCCTCCGCTGTAGTGACAGGACTTTAGATTTGAATCAAGTTCCCACATGTCCCTGGATTCAGAAGTAGCCAAAAGGTCTGTGTGGAAAAGATAAAACAATTTTTCCAATTAGTTTCCTGCTGACATTAAAGTAGTTTTAATGTACACGTCCAGCAGTGGGTGATATTGAGAAAGAAATCTCGAGCCCAAAGTGTGTTCCAACTTTATAAAAAACATAGTCAGGATAGGTGGGAAAAAGACTACACTTCAAAAACAGTTCACTTTTTTAAATGTAGGTCAAGCGTCTTGAGATGTGTGACAGGATTATAGCTGGTTTCAATGTTCTGTTAAAAAACACCACTAATGTTCCTTTATGTCCTCAGACCCCGGGGCCGATGCCTCTCTGTGTGGCATGGCGGCCACCAGTGCGTCCGGTACCAACGCAGTGCGTTATGGGACCATGAGGGAGAACGTTCTGAACCTGGAAGTGGTGCTGGCTGATGGGACGGTCCTACACACGGCTGGGAGGGGCCGGCGCCCCAGGTGCACCTCGGAGATTTTCACCCACAAATATGCAACATAGCCCAGTGCATCTTAAACAGTCTTACTCTTCTTTTCTGTCTGTGTCATTATTCAGGAAGACAGCCGCCGGCTACAACCTGACCAACCTGTTGGTGGGGTCGGAGGGCACCCTGGGGATCATCACCAAGGCAACCCTGCGCCTGTACGGCATCCCAGAGGCCATGGTGTCGGCCGTGTGCTCCTTCCCCTCGGTGCAGGCCGCTGTGGACAGCACGGTGCAGATCCTCCAGGCGGGGGTGCCCATCGCCCGCATCGGTGAGGAGGGAGCCCCTCATCCACACTCAAGAGACCCGTCCACTAAAAACAATGTGATGTTTGCAGAAAATAAGATCTGTGGAAAACACACTTTTATAATACCTTCAAATGTGAAAATCTCCACATATTAACACCACTGTTATGATTGTTTAGGCATTTATGCAATCTCCAGAATTAAAATCATTATACTATTAAATAACTACCTCATGGTCACATGACTTCAGGTTTAGTTGATATAAGCAGTATAGAGTGAGGCAGTGATGATGTGGGCCGACCTTGAATTTAGCATCCCCAGTGCAGAAACTTAGATCTGTGGCAAACACACGTTTATGATACTTACACGTTTTGTTCAGCAGAATAATCTCCACACATTAACACCACTTTATGATTTTTCAGTGGCAGATGACAAATCAACATTAGGCTATAAAGGAACCACATCACGGTCACATGACCTCACGTCACCACCGCTAAGCTAAAGGCGGCTAATGTTAAGCGTAACGATAATTAGCAGTCTCATTTAACAGTGACATACTGTGAACACGCTGTAAATGAGAGATTTGATCTGTGATATCAGATTTGATACCTCTCTTAGGTAAATCAGAAACATTTCAGAAATGTTTTTTTTTTTATTGTATTTTCTCAGAAACTAAATAGTGTACTTTTACTCCACTACATGTATTTAATCCCTTTAGTTACTTTGCAGATGTGGATGAATGATTTGAAATATAACCAAGTGTTAAATCAGACTTTAGTTCCACCTGGAGTAAATTCACAAGCTACCCTGCAGTATACAAAGTCATTCAAACTAGCTGCACCTTTACCAGCTTTGAGAACACTTTCATGATCAATCATTATAAAACATATCATCATCATCATCATCATCATCATCATCATCATCATCATCATCATCATTATCTTTATTTAAAGAGACTCTTGGTCCATTATTACAAGACATACAACACTCTAATATAAATATATATATATATATATCATATATATTATTCTGAAATGGACCAATCTGCACAATGACTACTTTTACTATCGCTACTTTCACTATATTTTGATGATAATACTTTTCTACTTTTACTTGAGGAACATTTTGAATGCAGGACTTTTACTTTAACAGAGTATTCCTATACTCTGTTACTTCTACTTTTACACAAGTACAAGATCTGAGTACTTGTACTTGTGAGCACAGACACAGTAAAATGCAATGTAATAAACTCTCATTGGGATGGTTGGATATTTTGAGTGTGATAAAGACAACGAGAAAGACCATGACTAAATAGTTTGGGCAAGTTTTCAGTTTATTTCTTCAATAATCTCCTCTTTCCACACAGCCTGTGGCAGGACTGAAGATCTGTTTAATACAAATAAACTGTAGGGGAACGCATATAAAACACTGAAGGCTAAAAGATGTGTGAAGTGTCAGCCATGTTAATGTATCCCTCCTGCAAGAAGCTGTTATACAGCAGCCATTAAGAGATGAAGCGAGAGTGAACATGTGTGGGAGAACTGCCTTTAAAGAAGGCAAAGATTCCACTTTATTGATCCCGCTCTGAGAAGCTTCCTGCAGGACGATAATAGAATACACGTGTGAGAAATTAAATCAATATCAATTGTTGGCATTTGAAAAATGTGTCTTTACCCGTTAGTAAAGTTTACAGATGTCAGAAGAATGACCTGGTTAGATGCATCACACTGACATCTGTGTGTGTCTTCTCTCTGTCTGTGTGTGTGTGTGTGTGTGTGTGTGTGTGTGTGTGTGTGTGTGTGTGTGTGTGTGTGTGTGTGTGTGTGTGTGTGTGTGTGTGTCCTACAGGCTTACGCTACAGATGTGTGTGTCCCTCTGTCTCGCCTGCCTCAGATCATCGTGGAGACGAAGCAGGACCTGATGGAGAACAGACTGACAGGTGAGCTGCAGGAACACAAATACCTGTGTCTACATCAAGTACACTTAGTGTATATGTCAACAATGGTTCATATCATTGTTAACCTCTGAAAGTATTGTAATTATAACAATCCATGCATTTACACTAACTGCAGAAACCTCACAGATATTACATTTAAAATAAATCACTGCTACTGATTATAATTGAATTATGATTTACATTTGATAGTGTTTTTAATGATCTGAACTAATGCTTTATCTAACACGCGGTTATACACCTTCAAAATGACTTTTAGATAAAGTGTTAATAAAACATAACAGTTTGTGTTCCTGGTGCCATTTTCAGGACAATACATCTATTCAATTAGTTAAAGGTCCCATGTCATGGCCAGTTCTACTGATCATAATTCCATTGCTGAGGTCTACTAGAATAGATTTACATTGTGCAGTTTTCCAAACTCACATTGGTTTCTCATAAAGCATCTCTGTATAGTATGTGTATTCACTCTCTGTCCTAACCGGCTTGTTGGAGCTCCTGTGTGTGTGTGTGTGTGTGTGTGTGTGTGTGTGTGTGTGTGTGTGTGTGTGTGTGTGTGTGTGTGTGTGTGTGTGTGTAGTGTAGTGTAGTAGTAGTAGTGTAGTACGTAGTACGAGACGAGAGAGAGAG